GCTTCTTGTATCTTCATAGGCATTTCCTTCTTTAAGTTGGGAAAGTTTTCTTCTATAATTTTGTTGAATATATTTTTTGTGCCTTTGAGTTGGTATTCTTCACCTTCTTCTATCCTTATAATTCATAGGTTTGGTCTTTTCATGGTGTCCCAAATTTCTTGGACGTTTTGGTTCATGACATTGTTGGCTTTAGTGTTTCCTTCAACTGATGAAACTATTTCTTCTACTGTATCTTCAATGCCAGAGATCCTCTCTTCCATCTCTTGCATTCTGTTGGTTATACTTGCATCTGAAGTTCCTGATCTTTTACTCAGATTTTCTATTTCCAGATTCCCTCTGTTTGTGTCTTCTTTATTTTTTCTATTTCCCTTTTCAGGTCTTGGACTGTTTCCTTTATTTGTTTCATCGCTTTTTCATGATTTTCTTTCAGTACTTTATTGTTTTCTTCCAGGACTTTATTGTTTTCTTCTAATTTGTTTGCCCTTTCCTCTAGTTGTTTACAGTGTTCTTCCAATTTTTTGTCTTTTCCTCTACACAAGCCTCTACCTTCTTCATGATGTTATTTATAAGGCTGTTTTCTTCTGTTTCTTCCAGTTTTTGATGTTCAGGTCTAGATGTTGGAGGCGGGCTAGGTTCTGGTGATGCTGTATTACTCTTCATTTTGTTGTATGTACTTCTGTCTTGATGTCTGCCCATCTCCTTGTGGTTCATTCTTGGTCTTATCAGCATACTTGGTTTAGAAAGAGCTGACAGATTCAGGAAGTCTCTCTCTCTTGTCCAGATGGGAGCTCTCGTGTCCAAATGGGAACTCTGGGGCAGGATGGAAGCTCTTATCTGGACCGGAAGTCTGAGGCAGGTGGGGAGCTTTTGTCCAGACAGGAAGTCTGGGGTAGGATGTGAGCTCTTGTCCAGAAGGGAAGTCCAGGTCAGGATGTGAGCTCTTGTCCAGAAGGGAAGTCCAGGGCAAGAGGGGAGCCCTATCTGGTGCAGAAGGGAAGTCAGGGGCAGGATGGGAGCTGGGGGGCCGGTCTCTAAGTTTCAGGAAGTGGCTGGGGTCTCAGGCAGATGGGCGTGGGGCAGGGCATGGAGATTGCAGGGGCTGCTGGGGGGCTTGGAAAAGGGGATCCCTCCCGGTGGGGCTAGAAGGGGACCCACCTGGTGCCCAGAACCTGTGGCCAAGTTGGGCATTTCTTCCCTGAGTGGCTGGTGCCCAGGGATGGGGTCTGGGTTGGGCCCGGATACTCACCTCTGGTCCAGAAGGGAAGTTGGGGGCAGGATCGATTCTTAAATCCATTTGATTGGAAAGTCTCTTCCCAGCCTTTTATTCTGAGGTAGTGTCTATCTTTGAAGTTGAGGTGTGTTTCTTGTACGCAGCAAATGGATGGATCTTGTTTTTGTATCCATTCTGTCAGCCTGTGTCTTTTTATAGGTGAGTTGTGACCATTGATATTGATGGATATTAATGACCAGTTATTGTTAGTTCCTGTTATTTTTTGGTGGTAGTGTTGTATGTTTCACTTCTTTGGTATTTGTTGGTGTGGGACTATCTATTGCTTGTGTTTTCATGGGTGTATCTAACTTCCTTAGGTTGGATTTTTCCTTCTAGTGCATTCTTTAGGGCTGGATTTGTGGAGAGATATTGTTTAAATCTGTTTTTATCATGAAATATTTTGTTTACTTCGTCTATGTTGATTGAGAGTTTTGCTGGGCATAATAGTCTGGTGGGCATCCATGGTCTCTTAGTGTCTGCATAACATCTGTCCAGGTCCTTCTAGCTTTCAGAGTCTCTGTTGAGAAGTCAGGTGTTATTCTTATGGGTCTGCCTTTATATGTTACTTGGCCTTTTTACTTTGCAGCTCTTAATATTTTTTCTTTATTCTGTATGTTTAGTCGTTTGATTATTATGTGGCAAGGGGACTTTTTTTTGGATCCAGTCTATTTGGTGTTCTGTAACCTTCTTGTATTTTTATGGACATTTTCTTCTTTAGGTTGGGAAAGTTTTCTTCTATGATTTTGTTGAATATATTTTCTGTGCCTTTGAGTTGGTATTCTCCTCCTCCTTCTATCCCTATTATTCTTAGGTTTGGTCTTTTCATGGTGTCCCAAATTTCCTAGACATTTTGGGTCATGACTTTGTTTGCTTTAGTGTTTTCTTTGACTAATGAATCTATTTCTTCTACTGTATCTTCAATGCCAGAGATCCGCTCTTCCATCTCTTGCACTCTGTTGGTTATACTTGCATCTGTAGTTCCTGTTCATTTACTCAGATTTTCTACTTCCAGCATTCCCTCTGTTTGTGTCTTCTTTATTGTCTCCACTTCAGTTTTGAAATCTTGACCTGTTTCCCTCACTTGTTTAATTGCTTTCTCTTGGCTTTCAAGGGATTTATTGATTTCTTCCCATTTTTTTGTTTGACTTTTCCTCGATTTCTTTAAGGGAATTTTCCATTTCTTCTTTTAAGATCTCTAATACCTTCTTAAAGTCATTTTATGGTAGATATCTTCTGTTTCTTCTGTGTTGGTATGTTCAGGTCTTGCTGATGTAGGTTCTGATGGAGCCATATGTTTTTATGTTGTTGACTGTATTTTTGCACTGGCATTTACGCATCTCTTTCTCCACTTGGTGCAAGCAGTGTTTGTGTCTGAGTGAGCCTCTTTTGGTCTGATTGATACTCTTTGTCTAGTGGGAGCTCTTGGTCTAGTTGATGCTGATAGACTCTTTGTCCTAGGGAGCAGCTCTTAGTCTAACTGATGCTAGTGGGCTTTGTCTCAGGGAGTATCTGCAGTCTTAGCACTTGGTAGATAGTGGTAGTCTGATCTGTCTGCAGGAGGTCTGCTTGCCAATTGGCCTGAAACTGGGACTTTTAGTCCAATCATGTCCTGGCAGGCTCTGTCTCAGGGAACAGTTGCAGTTTGGAAGGGTGGATGGGATTTGAGGGAGGTGGGGCTTGGGTTATAGGGTCTGATGGGGGATGGTGGTAGTCTGACCTTTCTGCAGGAGGTCTGCCTGCCAACTGGCCTGAAACTGGAACTGCAATGGGTGGTGGTGTAGGGGTGCAGGGTTGTGCCCTTGGGCCCAAAGCCTAGGGGCTGGGGTGTTCAGGTATGAGGATAAAGACTCAACTCTTAGTCTAGTTTTGTCCTGGCTGGCTTTGTCTTGAGGTGTGTTTCTTGGATGCAACAGAAGCATGTCTGTCTTTTTTTTTGGGGGGGGGAGGTTGAGACCATTAATATTGGCAGGTATCAATGACCAGTGATTGTTGATTACTGTCCCTTGTTGTTGCAGTTGGTGGTGTGTGTGTTTGAGTGTTTGAACGTGTCTTTTGGTTTTGCTGGCGTGAGATTATTTATTCCCTGTGTTTTCATGGGTATAGTTAACCTCCTTAGGTTGGCGTTTTCCTTCTAGCACCTTCTGTAGGGCAGGATTTATACATAGATATTGTCTTTATCATAAAATATCTTATTCTCTCCATCTAATGAAATTCTTGCTAAGAATATTAGTCTGGGCTGGCATCATTTGTCTCTTAGGATCTGCAGGACATCTGTCCAGGCCATTCTGACTTTTAGAGACTCCATTGGGAATTGAGGTACAATTCTAATAAGTCTTCCCTTATGTGGTACTTGGTTTATTCCCTTGTAAGTTGTAATGTTCTGTCTTTGTTTGGTATATTTAGTGTTTTGATTATTGCATGGCAATCTATATGGTGTTCTGTTTGCTGTTTGTACCCTTATAAGCATCTCCTTCTTTATATTAGGAAAATTTTCTTCTATGATTTTTTTGAAAATATTTTCCAGGCCTTTGACCTGGGATTCTTCTCCATCCTCTATTCCTATTGTTTGTAGGTTTGATATTTTCATAGTGTTCCATATTTCCTGGATGTTTTGTGTCAGGAATATGTTAGGTTTAACATTTTTGACTGGTCTATCCATTTCTTATATTGTATCTTCAATGCTTGAGATTCTCTTCTCATCTCTTGTATTATGTTGGTAGTTCCTGTTTAAATTCCTAAAAAATTTATTTGTAGAATTCTCTCAGTTTGTGTTTTCTTTATTGCTTCTATTTTTATTTTCAAGTCTTGAACAGTTTTATATTTTTTCTTTAACTGTTTTTTTTTTTTGTATTTTTTCCCTTGTTTTCTTTAGGGGATTTATTCTTGTCTTCCAATTGTTTGCATTTTCCTAGATTTCTTTAAAGGCTTCATTAATTTACTCTTTCAGGACCTCTGTCATCTTCATATGGTTGCTTTCAAGGTCTTTATCTTGTGCTTCAGTTATGTTGGAATATTCAGTGCCCACTGTGGTGGGATTCCTGAGCTCTAGTGGGAATATATTGCCCTGGCTGTTAGTGAACATGTTCTAATGCTAACATCTAGGCACCTGGGTTTGGGATGATTATAGGTCTAGGTGTTGACTTCTGGGTTTGCCAATCGGGTAAGTGTTAAGTTGTTTGGTTTTGTTTGTTTGTTTGTTTCTTTTCTGGATTTTCAGAGTGTGAAAGCTGTGTATTGCCCGTTATACTGGCCTGCTTAGCTGGTGTGTTCACAGGGAATGGCTGCTGGTGTTGGAGGCTGGAGTGCAATGATGAGTTGTGGGGAGTGAGGTTGGGAGGAGAGGTGGGCTGGGAGGAAAAGAGGCTATAGTTGGGTGATCTGTTGATGCTCTGAAGAAGAGACTGAGTGATTAGGTCTGGGGGGGGAGAGAGAGAGGGAGAGAGAGAGAGAGGGAGAGAGGGAGAGAGAGAGAGAAAAGAGAGAGAGAGAGAGAGAGAGAGAGAGAGAGAGAGAGAGAGAGAGATCTGAGAAGGTCTGTGGGCAGCCTACCTAGTTTTCTGGCAGGTGTGGCCTATATCTGAACAGGAGGTACCTGCTTAAGTTGAGGGTTGGGGTACAATGAGTGGGGGAGGGACGTTAGGAGTGGATAGTCTATGGGATCCTCAGAAGATGTAGATGGGTGGGGTGGGAGGATGAGAAACTGGAGCTGGTTCTCTTGTATCACTAAGGATGAGACTGAAGGATTTGGTCTGGGAGAACAAAGAGATCAGAAAAGATCTGCAGGTGGCTTACCTGGTATAATGATATTTTATTTGTACTGGAATGTGATTGTATGTTAATAAATAAAGTTGCCCGGGGGTCAGAGCTATTAGCAAGCCACAGTGAAAGCAGGGCAGCGGTGGTGCACGCCTTTAATCCCAGCACTTGGTAGGCAGAGCTAGGTAGATCTCTGTGTGTTCAAGGATACAGCCAGCATTGGAGACACAAGCCTTTAATCTCAATACCAACCATAGAAGACCTGGAGGTCTGTACAGACAGGCTGTGACTAGGTCATGTGGTTGGGTTTACAACCAATGATAAGGCAGAACAGAAACTCCATAAAAAAAAAAAGACAGACACAGGAAGTAGGTCTCTTTCGGAGAGGTACAGCAACAGTGAAGGGTAAGGTTTTTAGCTCTTAGCAATTGCTCTGACCTCTTGGCTTTTATCTTTGCATTGGTTCTGTGTTTCTTATTGAATAAGATGGTTGGTTACATCTACAACCTGGTTGTAATAAAATATATTTTTCATTTACATTTAGAAGTGGGTAACAATATCAAACAGAAGTCTTTATCCAGGTAAGACTATATAAATTAAAAATATGTGGTGAGTCCAAAGATAAGGAAGTATTATTTTTGAGTGTACCTTAAGATAGACACAATACTATGTGTTCAATTCTTGCTGTGTCTTATAGTAACCACAGGCAGTTTGCAAAGTATCTATGTTACTAAAACCTCTTTAGAACTACTTAGACAACTGCTGCCCTGATTATTTGGCCTATGGTCCTGGCTGTGCAATGCATCTCTTGCCCTTCTGTATAGATCAAAGTGCAGAACCACCTCATATCAATTCAGAAAGTTAAGTTGTGTGACTTGGCTGTGGTCTATCCTCAGAAGCTGGGTTATATTGCCCGACAGCCTATGTGAATAATTTTGACAACTGCAGTTGGATCTCACGCTGAAGTTTTTAAGGCAAATGTGGCAGACAGCCATAACTTTTACATGGGAAGAATCAGGTGACCTTTGTAGATGAATGAAGAGTATCAATATATAGATCATATGTAGATCTACATAGGCCTTGTAGATCATAGCCTAAGAATACCAGTTAGCATTAGCTTAGAGGAGTTGTTTTTTAAGAGAAAGAGCGTCCTCTAAATATCCCTGGGTGGCCTAGAACTTACTTTGTAGCCTAGGATGGCCTCAAAAATCATAGAAATACACTATCTTCTGCCTTCTGAGTTCTGGGATTAAAGGCATTAAGTACTAACTTTTGACTTAAAGGATATTTATAATTGATTACTTACTAATGTTGTAGATTTCTGTTTCTAGAACCACACCCTTTCTTAATTTTTGAAAAGCATTCTTTCTTTTCTATTTTTTTCATTTTTGAGAATTAAATGTTCATTTTCATCAATACACAGATTAAAAACATCTAGAATTTCAGGATTTTAAGGACACTTAGAGATGTAGCAAAAATACATGTTAGTATTTCTTGTGTTTCATTTCCTTCCCAAGTGATGCTTCCACTGGGGAGGCCTGAAGTTCAAACATGAGAGTAATTTATGTCGACACAGCACATGTCACAAATGAGATTTTACTCTAGCTTCTGAGTTGTAAAGCTGGTAGTCTAAAAACCCAGCTGGCAGCTTCCTCATTTACCTACAGGTATGTGAGCGTTTAGTAATAAAATGGGAGAGCACAGGAAGTAAAACCCATGGAGGAGGAAAGTGTGGACTTAGCAGGTTAACCCCCTGTAGGAGATGGACTGAGTTTACAGTGGAAGGTGGAGCCTGAAGAACATTGGTTTGGGTAGCAGCGAGGGTTCTAGAAAAGTGGTGAAAACAATGGGGCGTGTGGCAGGAGTGACAATGGTGACAGGAAAACTCAAGCTTAGAGACGAAAATGATCACAAAGGCCATTAAAACCGGGAATTGAAGAGAGTCCTGAAAATGCTGTCGCTGTCCAGACTGCCTAGTTGGAGGACCTGAAGATGTCGAGGTGTCTGTTGAAAGGGTCCCAGTTTGGGGCTGGGGAGACAGCCCTGTTAATGAAGTGCATCTTCTGTAAACATGAGACACTTGGATTCAAGCACACAAAAGCCCAGGCGTGATTGCACATGCCTGTCCATCCATCACTGGGGAGGCAGACTTTCGGGTATTCCTATCGCTTGCTGAAAACCGAATGGAATAATGGATTTGTTCCCTGGTGCAGTGAGACACCTGTGTACGATGGATGGCACCCGAGGAGAAAGCACACTGATGTCCACTGTCCTACACACACACACACACACACACACACACACACACACACACACACACTGGCACGTGTGTATACACATGTGCAAACACACACACACACACACACACACACACACACACACACACACACACAGATGCGAATGTGATTTGAACCCCTTAAAGAGGTCTCTGTAGAAGATATGCTTCCGGTACCCAATACTCTTTATCAGTTTACATAAATAATTAGTCTTCACCCAGGTGTAGACAATGGACAGGGCAGAGTGCTTAGTCTTCAACCAGAGTCAGCCATTGGGGAAGATGCAGACCACCTTCTGTCTTGTTTTAGCAGTGGATTCATTTCAGTTCAGGTAGCAGATGTATGTACTTGTTAGGGGAATTGTCAGCTCCAACTTTAAGAGAGGCAATTTGTACAGGCAAAAGTCAATACATTGGTGATTGACTCTCTCTCTCTCTCTCTCTCTCTCTCTCTCTCTCTCTCTCTCTCTCTGTTGTATATGTCTGTGTGCAGGCTTGGAGGTAAGAGGAGGATATTGGTATCTTGCTCTATCATTCTCTATCTTATCCACTTGATATAAGGTCTCTCAAGAACTTGGAACTAGACTTGCAGCCAGCAAGCCCCCATAATGCCCTGTCTCTGCCACCCACAGCCCTGGGATTGCAAGTGCATGCCCACTTTTTTTTTCACATGTATGATGCAGATTTAAGTCCTTGTGTGTAGGCAGCAAGCACTCTTATTTTCTGAGCCATCTCCTAAGCTGCTGACTTTTTTTAAAGACTGGGACTATCAGTGAGTCTTTGTTGAATGATTTATAGGTTGAAATAAGTTAAAGCTCACAAAGTCAACCAAAAGTTTTAAAACATAGGTCGACTTTGAATTATATAAATGCAGAAATGTCACTTAATACATTAGTACTGGATCTTTTCTCCAGAGTTGCTCAGATGACCAAATCCTGCCATTATTGCATGTTTTTCCCCTAAGGCTCTCTGACAAACCTGATCCTGATGTCCCTGGGACTACAATAGAAGACAATGACAGTACCTCTGTTATTAAGGTAAAAGACACCTTAGTGAAATTTATTTTTTATGATTTTTGTTAAAATGCAGCAGTAGTCTACCTATCACAGTTTCATATAGAAAGCTGGTCTGGGTTGGCATCCATTTTATATGTATGAAAGTTCCTTTCCTTAACTTCAAGTAAGCAGCAAGTCCCTTCAGGGAGTGGTGGCCAATGAAGAGAATGGCTGGAAACACATAGTGGTAGAAGATTGAGTGCTGGTCTCCCATAGTAGAAGATGTTTGATGTTTGCCCGAGGATTGTTTGCAGAAATAAATGCACATTGATTTTAAAACACAGCTCTGGCAATACACCTAAATACATTTTAATGATTCCAGTTAGTAATTTCAGTGATCTGGGAGTCTCCCAGTTGCCTTTACTTTTAGCATAAATGCCAGTAGGTTCTATCCTCCTATTTTATGACCATATATGAGAGCATCTCCTATATTTCTGTTTTTGCTTCTGTATTCAGACTAACAAGAAATTGTAGAAATTTAGACATGTGTAATCTGTTCATCAAAATTTGCATTATGGAGAGTTTGCACCATGTTTTCATTTGATTCCATTAAGAATATATTTAAAAATTATATGTTCATAGGTGTGTGGGTTAATGTCGGGGTCTTCAATTTGATTCCATTGGTCCACATGTCGGTTTTTATGCCAATACCAAGCTGTTTTTGTTACTGTAGCTCTACAGTAGAGCTTGAAGTCAGGGATCGTGATGCCTCCAGAAGTTGTTTTATTGTACAGGATTCTTTTGGCTATCCTGGGATTTTTGTTTTTCCATATGAAGTTGAGTATTATTCTTTCCAGGTCTGTGAAGAATTGTGTTGGTATTTTGATGGGGATTGCATTGAATCTGTAAATTGCTTTTGGTA